TTGAAAGTTACATTGCAAGTTTTTGGTCCTAAAAATTAATATACGTTAAGCAAACATACAATTTGCAAGTTATTCTATAACATCTTCGCATGAAACACTTACTCAATTCCTCAAAAAATTTTGTGATTCTTGTTGCCGGCCTCTCTTTTAATCCATAGTCTCTAAGTTCTTCTTTAGTTAATTTAAAAAATTCTTGGCCGGATATTCTGTATTCTTCAATTATTTGGAAATCTTCGTCTATAAGAAACAACTTGTCTTTTTTTGACTTTAATAAACTGATTACTTGTGATGGACTCTATTTCTCAAGGTTTTCATGAGTAGACATTTTATTATTAAAGTAAAAAATAATCACAATAGCCATGGGTATTTATAAAAAAATCTGTCACACGAGGATCTACACATTGCGGGTTTGATTGGTTAAAAAAACTTTTCATATAGAGGTGTGACATCGATATTACTGTATTACAGTAAGATTTTATTTAAACTTTTGTTATTGATTAGTCAGACTTAAAGTTTCGTTTCTTCTCTTAGAAAGTTATCACATTCACATCGCTTATATATTCCATCTGCCACCTTTTTGCATGCTTTGCAATATAGATATGAATGATGATTGCATTCGTCACAAACCTTACACCCGCGCTTCCATCCTCTAAAGATATGCCACTTTTTGATATAATTGTATCTTTTTTTATTTGTTAATACATTATCACTATTTGGATTTTTTATTATTACAGAAAAAATAATATATACGTGGCTAAAAAATTTTTTATTATACATGTGTGGCAGTTATATTTATAATCAATTTACAAACAAATTATACGTGCACCTTATAGAGATTGTACAATACGTGTCTTAAACAAATTATACATATAAATTATGCATAAGGTATAAGCTAGTATTAATGATATGTACTACACGGACCTCAAACTGAAAGATCATAATTTTGATTGTATAGCAATGAAGTTTCGCTTCGAATTTACGACCAGACATATTTAAAAATCAAGTAATAATAGAATATAACTTTATTATAAGAATGAAAATGGGCTAGGGCGAGCTAAGTAAAAACTTATGAATGGAGTAGCAGACATTTAAAGGGAGGAATTTCTCGAGCCCTAACTCATAAAATGAGAGTTCCTTCCTGCTACTCCATTATTATTAAAACTAGCTACCCATGCATTTATTTGATTAACAGTACTAATTTTACTGCTACTAACACCATTATAAAAATTTTTCACTGTTGAGATCTTAATATTTCCTCCAAGACAACAAATATTGACTACTACTAAAAAGCACATCTTATCAAAAGCATAATTCCTCGCCTTCATAAGCCGATCGAAGTGTTCTTTAAAGCGAATTCTAATGTCTCCAGTAATATCAAAAATTTCAGATAAATTAGAACTTCCAGAAGAAGAGCTTGGAGACGAATTATTTTCAGATTCATTGGTCGAATTAGCTTCAGATTCATTGGACACACTTTGTTGATCAAAATCGGATCTTTGAACCACTGTGTAATGTTGGTTTATTTTGTTTTGGAGATCTTCGATAACAACATTAATTCTGCTAAATTCATTACGGCAGGCTTCTTCGATATTATTAACTTTCGTAGTTATGTTATTGACCATTGAAAAAATTTTCTGCACCTCAGAGGCGTAGCCAGCATCACGTGTATTAATTTTGGTGATTTCTGCGATAAGTTTACTATTAAGTTCAGTATTAATTTCAGACAGGCGTGTGGAAAGCTCGTTGATGATTTTAGTATTAATTTCTGCAATAAGTTTTCTATAGACATCATCAGTAAGGATTCTTTTGATTTCCACAGTAATAGTTGTATTATTTTTTCCGTCAAGTTCATTGGCGATCTTAGTACCATGTGCAGAGAGATCATCTGCAATTTCATGCTTAATTTTGGTGATATGCGCGAAGAGTTCTTTGGAAATTTTTTGCTTGAGAATCATTTACATAGTAACGATCCCCATGAATATCAGTGGACAAACGAATAAAAAAACAATGGTCAAGACTAAAAATGGCATGCTTCCCGAAGAGTTGAACAATGTTAAACTGGACATGATACAGATAGAGTGATGCATATTATTTTTTATTTGAGCTTATTAATGGATCAAATCAGAGTTTTTTAGATACTAATGATTTATTTTTTTTATAATATGCAATTCTTTCGCATAGATGCGCTAGGAAAAGGGGTTATTTTATACTTTATTTCTACTACACGTGAAAATGAGAATTTAGCCGATATAATCAAAACTATGTTGCTTTATTCCGTGAATTCGTCATAATTGCATTTTTTATAATTTCATTTTTCTACCTAAAACCATTAATAGCAGCCTAGATCCCAATCCGATAATAACCCGAATTTGAGGCCATTTAATAATAGGGCTTAAAAGAAAATCCGACTATTACCAGTTACGGTTTTATGACCAATTAGATACCGTAATTTAATACTAATAAAGTTGAAGTTGTTATTGAGAAATATACTGTTTATTGCTAAGATCGCACAAGATTTGGAAGATCTCTCACGTTTTTTTGCGTAACTATACGTTATTTTAAACCCAATTTGTGCCTCCATACAAACCTACCAATGACCCATAATGGAATTTTATCATGTAGAATGGATGGTGCTATAGTACCCATTACATATCGTAGGATCAGATCTGTAAATCACTGGCACAATTTCCATTCTTGTCTCGTTCTAACATTAGGGACATTAGATTGACTTGCGTAATACTAATTTAAATATTCGTAATACGCGTACTATACCAGAACGTTCCGGAAAAAGTTGGCGGATTAATTATTCATTGATTTATTCCCCATAGATTTGCAGTTAAATCACATGCTCTCATCTGCGAATATAATTCATGAACAATGGCACTCTTATTACTGCGAAAAAATATAGGTGACGTTTAATATGCATATTCGAAAAAAAGAAATAATAATTTAGTCTATGTGGTTCACCTGAGCATCACATTGCTGAACTGCAAAACTTAACTAAGAAATTGAAAATTTCAGACAAAGGTTTTTTAATTCCAAACTCTTCTACACGCTTTTCATTATCAGGTGATAATCCAACAAGGAATTTTTCTTTAACATCTATATCATCTAAATCCTTGCCAATGCTAATAGCATATAGCTTAATCATTTTAATATATTCACTCACAGAGCTATTTCCTTGTGTTGGAGATGATACTTTATCTTCTTTAGGTTCTAAGACTGGAGAGCTCGGAGAGGATGACCGATCTACCCAATTAATCATATCTCTTATAAACATATCACTATATGATTCTCTCATTATGTTTATTATTAATATTATACTATTTTTAAAATTAAAAAAATTCATATTACTGACCACTGCTCCGGGTTGATGATCACTGCTCCGGATTAGTTGGATAATCAGGAAGTTAATTAATCTTATTTTTGCTATATGCACCTGAATGAAAAACAAAAATAATGATTTAATCAATACACTTCATAGATTTTTAAGGAGGTGTGGCCCAGCAAAAATCTTCTGAACTAGTGATCCTGCTCCAGACCTGTGGGACCGCAACACTAGTGTGTTTAGTAATGTAACATATTTTTGTCTGATGCTGGGTAATTTCTATAGCACGAAGCGACCATAGATGAGAAAAGCTAAATAACCCCTTTTTTTCTCGCAAGCGAGCCAGCTCAAAAAGATATATTTAAAACTAATAACTTACTATATCCAGCTTTCGACTTTGTCGAGGAAGACTGGGCCTAAATTGAAGATAAGGTATTTTGGTATATTATCATTATGGAACAAACTTATTCTGACACTAGTGCTAGTAATAAGATTGGGGTACACGAATTCTTGGAGGCTTTGGGATTATTAGATAATAAATTTGGGTTAGGCGCCAATGATGATGGTGATGAATTCTGGCTGTCCGATGATGATGACGATAATGACAACGAAGAAGATGATGATGTGTTTTCTAGCAAATTATATGACAGATGGGATTATGAAAGATGTTTTGGTGAAGATGCTTTGAAAAAGCTTTATCGAGACCGGGAAGCTCGTCAACGTTTTATTCTTATTAGGCTATTTACTATGTGCCTTCCTAATTTATCTGAGCAAGCAAAAAATGGATTATTTGTCACATTTTCTAGATCTAATTCATTTGGAGTATTAGAACACA